GGCCTGATGAACGGTGCCATGTTTGCGCCCAGGTCCTGAACTGGCAGACCCCCAGGCCGCTGAAGCAGAGCGCATGAACTTAACCACTCGGCCATAGGGCTGGCCCCTGAGTCAGGTTTTTAACTTGCTTTTTGTATCAGTTTTGAAAAGTTATATTTTTCTAGGACCTCTGCAATTTTATCTATATTTTCAAATGTGTTGGTAGAAAGACATTCATTATTTCCCCTCATTGCCTCCTTAATATATATAGCATTTGTAATTATGTACCCTTTTTCATTGTTACTGTTCTTTATTTGTGGTGTATTTTTTTCTCGATTTTTCTTGACAGTTTTTCAATTCTATTAGTCTTCTCAAAGAATCGTTTACCTATGTGTATTTTAAAATTTTCAATAATTTTTTTGTGATTATTTCCTCCTCTCTAACATTCTTTGGTTTATTTTGTTGCTCCTTTTGTAACTTGACAAGTTAGAAGCTTATTGTATTAAATTTAAGTTTTTCTTTTCTAATAGAAGCAATACAACTTTCCCTGATAGTACTGCTTATCTGCATTCCTGAAGTTTTCATATACTGTATTTTTGTTATTGTTTGGTTCTGAATATTTTCTAATAGTCGTCAAGATTTCTTCTTTGCCCAATAAATCGTTTAGAAGTATGTTTTTTAATTTCTAAATTTTTCAGATTGTCTTGTATCTAGTTTAGATAAATGGATACTGGTTATGTAGATAACTGGTTTAGATAACTAGATATTTAATTGTATTGTGATCAGTATTCATGGTCCATGTGATACCTATTTTTTGAAATTTGTTAAAACTTGCTTCATGTCTTAGCGTGTGGTCATTTGTCATAAAAGTTTTAGGTGTGGCTGTGAAGAATATGCATTCTTCACCTGTTGAGTGCAGTGTTCTGTGTATAACCATTAAATCAGCTTGTTCACTTTGTTGTTGATCTATCTTCTGTTTCCTTGCTGATTTTTTTGCCTGCTTGATCTATACATTAGTGACAGAGGTATATTTTAAAATCTCCCAGTATGGTGATAGACGTTTCTTACTTTCTGTAGTTGTGTAAATTTTTGCATTAATAATTTTAAGCTATGTTATTAAATTTATACAAATTTATAATTATTATTATATATTTCTGATGAATGAAAATTTTTATCATTTTGTTGTAATACTCTCTCTAATAATGCTTTTTACTTTAAGTCTATCTACAGTCTATAATATATCAGGTTTCTTTCCATATTTTGTCTTGTATGGCTTTCCCATCCCTTTAGTTTCATGGTCAATGAATCCTTATATTTTATATGTGTCTTTTGTAAGTGGTATATTTGGTTTCATTTTTTTATTCAGCCTGACAGTCTTTTTCTCTTAACTGGAAATTTAGTCCATTTATATTTATTATTAAGTACTGATACAGGTTTTTTTGGTTTTTTTTTTTTTTTTTTTTTTTTTGGTGAGGGAGATTGGCCCTGAGCTAAATGTGCCAGTCTTTTCTCTGTTTTGCATGTGGGTTGCTGCCACAGCATGGCTTGATGAGCAGCATAGGTCCACACCTGGGGTCCAAACCTGTGAACCTGGGCCACCAAAGTGGAGTGTGCTGAACTCAACCACTATGCCACGGGGCCAGCCCTCGATATAGTTTTATTTCTATCGTCTTATGTTTCTTTTCTCACTTTTCTTTCCTTCTTTTAGATCAGTTGTAGTTTTTGTTTGTCTAAATTGTCTTTATTTTACCGTTGTTCTTTGAAGATCTCTTCATTGAGTAAACAGTCCTATTTGGTAGTTATTTTCTGTCAGCACATTGAAGTGTGCATTGGTTTCTCTTGCTGTTGAGAAGGTGGTAGCAGTCTAATCATCATCCCTTTGGAAGTGATCTTATTTTCTCTTTGGTGGCTTTTAAGATCTTCTCTTTGTCTTTGTTTTTATATAGTTTTGATGTCTGCTGGTGGAGTTATTTTTGGTTACTGTCCTTGAGATACCTCTGGATTTCTAATCTGACAAATAAAATCTTTCATACATTCTGGGAAATTCTCAGCCAACATTTTTTTACATATTGTCTCCCATTCTCTCTCTCTTCTCATTAGGAACTCAGATTAGATACCTATGAGACCTTCTCATTCTGTCCTCCATGCATTTTAATCTCTCATATTTCATCTCCTTGTCTCTCTATGCTATCCAATCAATTTTGTATTTACAGTATTTTTTCTTCTCCAGATGTTCACTTAGTTCCTTTTCAGTTCTACATGCTACTTTCTCATATTTTTGATTTCTTTTCTTCTTATTTCGTTAAACAAACTTATATTTTCTGCTTAATAATTCTAGTGTCTGAATTTTTTGCAGGTCTGATTCTGTTTGCTTCCTGCTCCCTGTCTTCCCTGCCTCCCCCCCCACCCCCCACCATACACACCTTGCTGGCTCTCTGGCTCTTGTTCATGATAGCTTGATTTCTTACGTATTTCATGATTTTTTTTTCTTTTTTTACCATGTGCACATCAACTGAGGAACGTTCTGTCCCGGAAAGCTGGTTTTAAGGTGTCTTTCTCCAGAAAGGATTAGCATTTGCTTTTCTCAGGTGCTGGAGGCCACTACCAACCTGGAAATACTTCAGCTAAGTTCTCATACTGGAAGTTTTTAGACCACACAAGTAGTTTTGGCTGCAAACCCCTCTGTGGGACAGCTTGTGCTTATAAATTCTCAGGAGATATTTTTTTTCCTCTACCTGGCACCCAGGCTTAAGGCAGACCATTTTCTTTCCTATCTTTAGCTTGGGGGTCCGGGTTATTCCTAATTTGCCCCTTAACTGAGCCCTTTGGGGATTCTAGCTTAATGCATCAGATCTTCTGTTAGATTTCTCATCTTGGGTTGGCCCTAGGTTTTTTTCCGCTTTGCCTTCTTCACACGAGATTTAAAAAACTCAAGAGTCTCCCTGGTTTGTTCAAAATACTCAGGATGTGAAAATCGGGTTGTGAGCTCTGCTTACCATTTCACTTGTCCTCTGATAAGTCTTTACTTTCTTGCTCTTCCTGTAATATATTTTAAATAATATTCTTACATTTTATCTAATATTTTAATTTTATTTCCACAGTAGTTCAAAGTGTCTAATCCAGTGTACTGTAGGAAATGGCAGTCCTATAATAAGCTTTTGCCAGTACAGCTTTGCTTTTTGGTTTTTTCTTCTTTTTTAGAGTTTCGATTTCCTTTTTGTTTGTGTGGGAGTTTTGTAGGCAAAGGTTTAGTTTAACAGTCTATGTTTAATGTAGACTGTTGTGGAATCATTTGTGGTGCTTCTGTTGACGTGACCAACAAATATTTATTAAGTGCTTACTTGCATCAGACACTATTCTAGGAATGGGGTACAGAAATGCACCAAATGGACAAAAGTCCCTGCCCCACAAGGAGCTTGAATTCTAGCGGAGAAGACACTGGATATGTGATACAGTAGACAGTGATAATGCAAAGGAGAAATAAAACAGAGAAGGCAGTTTGCATCTTTGGAGGTAACAGCTCAGGAATACCTTACTGAAAGGGTGACATTTTTAAATAAAAGGGGATGTGAGCCATGAGGACTCCAGATGGAGAAAAGACCTAGATGTCTTATAAATGCCTAAGGGAATATGTAATGAAAATTCTCTATAGTTTCATATTTATACCATGTCACAAATATTGATATTTATTCTTGAGTGTTTTTTTTTTTAAAGATTGGCACCTGAGCTAACATCTGTTGCCAGTCTTCTTTTTGTTTTCTTCTTCTTCTTCTCCCCAAAGCCCCCCAGTAGGTAGTTGTAGATTCTCGTTGTGAGTGCCGCTGGTTTTGCTATGTGGGATGCCACCCCAGTGTGGCTTGATGAGCTCTGCCATGTCCACGCCCAAGTTCCAAACTGGCAAAACCCTGGGCCACTGAAGCAGAGTGCGCAAACCCAACCACTTGGCCGTGGGGCCAGCCCCGCTGTTTATTCTTTTTTCCCTCTTAAATCTCAATTTTCCCTTCCTATTTCTTAACCCCGCGCTATAATTTTGATTCTCCATCCTGGAGAACTGCCTCTCCATCTTCTTGGACAAGCTGCTTGACTCTCTGAGTCTGTTTCCCCCTGTGTCAAATAAGACCACTGCCCACCTCTCAGGATTGTTGGATGAAATGAGATAACATTTGTAAAAGTGTCTCACATTTCATGGGTACTCAATAATTGCTAGTTTCTCCCTTTTTTATTTCTTCCTCCTTGTCCATACTCTTTTCAGCACTTGTTTTTAGTACCTGTCAGCAAATTTGCAATGAGGTTCTTATGCAACACCATGGAGAAACCATGTGGTAGGCAATTAACTAAAGACAAATTAGGAACATAACTTGATTTTTAAAAAAGAAACTTTCCAGTGGTTTTGAAAGGCTGAATTTGGTGCTCAGGGTTAAGGAGAGAAAGCCATGCCCTGTGCATTCCCCACTTAAAGATATCTTTCATTGTATCGCAGATCAGCAGCCCTAGTAAATCTCAATTTGCGTATGTGAAGGTCTGCAGAATCTCCAGCTGGAGTCAGACTCAAAGCAAGAGAGGCATATTGCATTCGTCTGCGGATACATACGTATTCACATGTCTTCCCTTAGCCCTTAACCCAATCTGGCTTTAATTTTGCAGTGTAAATTGGTGAATTCTCTTGAGATGGTTTGCCTTCTAAAAAAGGGAGGAAATATAAGGGTAAGGATGAAACTGAAATCTAAGTTTAGAAATAAAAGTAGAGCCTAAAATCACTTTTAGTCTTTAGTGAGATTTTGTTTGATTTGCGGGTCATGAGATCTTACTTGTAGTACTGGTTTCCATACTGACTCACCGTGGGCTCTTGGTCAATTAGTTTTCCCTGTCTGTGTCATGAGTGGTACTTCCTATACTTCTTTGACTTGTACGGCTGTTGAGATTTCATAGGATCTGAACAACATCAAAGTAAGACAAACACTAAAGATAAACAAAGTACAACTATTTATATTGCATGCTTTTGTTTTTTGGTCTATCCCCAGCCCTACCTTTGACTATGCCCTGCTGGATGTGCCCTTCCTTCAACTCCTTGGGGAGATGCCCTCTGACCTCCGAGAGCAGCTGGACCACACATTCTGAAGACACCAGTAGTCCCAGTTTTGGCCCCTCATACACGGACCTGCAGCTCATCCATGCTGAGGAGCAGATGAGTGGCAGGGCTTCTGGGGCTGACTCGACTGGTAAGATGGAGCGCCAAGCCAGAAGGCTTTGCAAATCACTTTTGATGACCTGTTACCACTCTTAATATCTCTGTAGCCTGCTTTGTTTAAAGAACAAATTCAGGTGTAGTCATCTTGTCAAAAAGCTAGAATCCAGAGTGGTTCAAAATTGCACTGGGCAAAAGCACGTGCACAGATTGGCTGATTGGTTGGCAGATTATTAGTATGGGGAAACCATTTGACAGTATATCTTAATGTGTTATTTTCTTACTGTTCCGTGCAGGTACTGTTCTCTGTCAATTTATTTCTCCTTGGATAACTGAACTATGTAATATGTACAAGGCTGAATCTTTCATCCTACCACCCACTCAGTCTTCCCTCTTCAGCAACAGGGAGGTAGATTTAAGCAGAGAAAAAGCAAATGTTATGTGTCAGTGAGAATCAGGACTCAGCCACTGTGTCCAGACTACAAATTATTTTGCAGTTAATGCTTTTTCTCCTGTGCCTGAATTGAGCTATACCTTGGTCTGTAACATCCTGTGGTCTCATTTATTAAATTTCCCGTAGGTGTAGGATGAAATGCCAGCTGGCTTTGCCATTAGAATATGGGCCTGTCACCAAGCACTGCATCATGGGTTAGGTTTAGGATGGCATTGGAAAGATGTTGTGTGTTCTTGGTGTTTTGGTTATTTCGTCTAAGAGATTGTTTTCCTTTGAAAGTGATGGAGTTACTGGTAGTTTCTCTCTGGATGAAATTACCCAGTGTGTTTAATAATATTTGTTTTTCCTTCTCAAAAATGTTAGGATTTGTCTATGGATCATTTTTCAAATTTGGGTAACGTTTGCCCTCATGCTGTGTGCTACTGGGGGATTCCACAAGTAGAAAGAGAGATCCCTCTTGCAGACTAAAGGGTTCAGACAGGATTTGGTTTGGTATTTGATAATATTGCAAAGAATCCTAGTTTATCACAGTCTCTCTCATCACAAGTCACAATTCTTTATAGCATTTTGTTTTCACAGATGCTGTCTCAATTCTAGTTGATCCCTGTGGCTGATGATCCCAGTAACTGGCTGAAATATGCCCTCATGACCTCATCTCCTCCGTAAGGAGCATTTCATGGATGGGAAGACACCATCAGAAGCTGAGGCGGTTAGGAAGAGAGGCTGTGCTTGCCTCCCCCTCACCTCTGCTTGCTCTCAACCTCCTTGCCAGGCCTTCCCTTGGAGGACGCAGATAATGTATTGGTTGAGAGCACACAGACTGTGGAGTCAGACTGTTCAGGTTCAAATCCTCGTTCTGCCATTTACCAGCTGCGTGACCCTGGGCAAGATCCTTAATATCTTTATGACTCAGTTTCTTCATCTGCAAAATGAGGATAATGATATTACTTACCTCACCAAATTGATACCATGTCCAAGTGAGACAATTTATGGAGAACAATTTATACCATGCCTGATGGAATAAGTGATCATCGAGGATGCAATTTCTTCCCTCTCCTGCCCCAGGATTCTTATTGCTTTAGAGAGCTTCTTATTGCTTATTCTTCCTTGCTATAGGAAAAGCCAAGATCTCTAGGCTCAGGCTGCTTTTTCAGTGGCCTCTCCACTTAGGTGAAAATTGCTTTAATTCCTTGAGATTCAAATGATGAAAATCAGAGTCCTAGCCTGAACTAGACATTATTAATCTGTCTCCAAAGCTTGTGATTATTTTTAGTATCTCCCTTTTCTAACAGTGTTGCAGTTCTCATTGGGAAAGCTTCCTCCCCTGTTGTTTTGGTCAGGGTCCTGGCAGGAAGCAGATGGTACCCTCCAAAGCGTTGATCTGAAGACAGTTTAATGAAAGGACTGCTGACAGAGGCAGCAAGAGCTAGAATCATGGAGGTGGGGCTGCCCCACAGGTGCTGTGGCTGCAGAAAGGACAGAGCCACTGCCAGAGATTTGGCAAAGTGGGGAGAGAGGGGGAATAAATACCAGGATCTTGTGCTGGTGCTGCCCATCGGCAGATCCCAACCGGAAGGCAAAGGGCACAGAGCCCTGTGGGGGGGGAGGGCCGCCCACAGAGGTCAGCCACCAGGCTACAGAGCAGGTGGAAAATGGATTTGGGGTGAGGGGTGGTGGTGAAGCAAATGGAGAATACTTTAGTCCCCACGAGGAACTAAATGGCCTCTGGGCTGGGGTCATTTCAGAGACTCAAATGCAAAACCAGGACTAGAGAATTATGAGTGATGCTCTTAGTTCTCTCCTTCAGCAGGAGGCAGTTTCTATGGCTACAGGGAGGCTAGAGGTATGGCCTTTTGGCAGCTGTCCTCTTTTGCCGAAGTAGTAACCATCATAGCCAGCTCTTACCGCATGTGTACCGTAGGCCAGCATCTGATGGGTATTATCTCTGGCCTTCACAACAGTCCTGCCAGGCAGGTGCCATTCACCCCATTTCCCCCTGTGGAAGGTTAAGAACCTTGTCTGAGAGAACACCACTAAGAAATGGGTGAACCTGGGTTTCAATCTGAGTTCCAAAGCCTTTTCCAGTGGTTCCTAAACCTGCTGGTACCCCTGCGTCATCGTGGTGATTGGTTACTGTGTTACCTTCCAGACTTTCTGTACAGATAGGTACAGAGGATGCATGTAAATATATATACAAATATTTCCTTGGGGGCTATTTTTGGGGGGTTATTTTTTAACTTAAATAGGATCAAAGGGATTTTAAATGTGTAGCAATCAGAGCTTGAGGATATAGCTCATGTTTCCTTAACAGATGTGAGAGCTTACAGAGAATGGCTATGGGCCCATAGTATTGTATTATGTAAACAGGTTTCTGGACACTGCATTTTGAAAAGAAATCTCCTATTTCTTTAGTAATTCGGCAAGGGCCCAGGGTGGCCCAGGTGCGAGGGAACACCTCCATCTGCTTCCGATGGAACAGTCTTCCTTCGCATCTCACCTCCACCCACTCTTCTAGGCCAAGAGGTGGTGAGCAGTGTGCCTCCAGGGCCTTGGGAAAATGAGAGACAGTGGGGTGAGTGGCTCAGAGAGCAGGTCCCGAGGCTGTGTGGACAGGGTCTGGATATGGCCCCAGCTGTGGGAACCGCATGAGGCTCTTCTTGATCATCCTGACCTGTGCAGTCAGGGTGAAGTTCTGGCTTTGAAAACCCTTTAACTCATCCTGGATCCCAGGATAGAAGGTGGATAAGGAAAAACAAGGTTTAGGAGAATGACCAAATGTTTCTGAGCTGCTGGCATTTATCTGTCTACCCCAGCAGTGGGGCATTTGTAAATGCTTTCAGTTGAGCTATTGAGAGCTTCTAAGAAATCTCTACACACTGGAAAAGCCCCCAGCCAGGTGACTCTCTGTCCTCTGCCCGGCACCTGGCCTGAGGCAGTGGCCAGCCTCTGGGAGAGCCCTCCTTCGAGGCTGGACGACGGCTCAGTCAGTGTAAACTGAATCCCTGTGAGGCTTCAGGGCAGATTCTCATCTGTCTCTGCCTCCTCTGGGCATGTGATCTCCCCAGAGCTTCCCCTTCTCCTCTGTGAAATGGGGCTGAGCGGCCCTGCCCAGGCAGGGTGACAGGGTATGTGTGAAGGTGCTTCGTACAAAGTGCTGTAGGAATAAAAACAAAATTCCTAATTGAATAGCTCCGTGCCTCATTTCCCTTTGATATGGGAAATAAGGATCATTACTGCCTGCTCCTTTATTGCCCCAAAGAGGTCTGTAAACTATATACGTGATGGGATGGGATCCGAGAAGGGCTTTGCAGTTCTCAGCAGCAAGCCACAGGTAAATGCAGAGGCGCTGGGGCAAGTCTCGTGTGATTGGTTTCAGTGCCAAGGGCTTGAGGGTCCTTGGGAGGAAGTGAATTGGGGAGACTTTTGTCATTTATCTGCCCCCCCCATGCCTTTTAGCACTGTGGAGGGAAGTAGGAGTGAAGAGGGTGTGCAGAATTGTGGCCTCCGTCAGGGGCTCCCTCAGCCCAGCCCAGCTGGCCCGGCTCCCCCTGGCAGCGCCGTGTGAGGATGCGGCTGGGACAGGAGGGCTGTGATTCATCTCCTGTGTGGACAGGATTCTGGTGGCCCAGGCCCAGGCTGTTTGCCTTTGCCCCCTTCTCTGTGCTAGGCCGCAGCAAGCAGCAGCCCCCTCCCTGTCATCAGGGCAGGAGTTCTGCAGGGATTGGGCAGCCCCACAGGGCCATCTCGATTCCCAGCATAATTGTGGAGGGAAAGACGCTATGATCAGCCTACACTTTCTTCTCATTTTCTCACCGAGGGGATGATTAGGAGGAGGAAGGCAACCCATCCCCTCACCTTGGTTAAATCACAGGGTGTGGTGCAGAGCTGGAGAGCAGCGTTGTGTGTGCTCAGCGTTCAGCTCTCCAGTATACGTGGCAGAACTGGGAATAAGCAAGATCCCAATAAGACTCGCTTCCTCTCTCACTCCTGACCCCCCAGGGCCCCTTTCCCTAGAGATGGGCACACCCTGTCACCTTCACCAGTCAGAGCAGCTCTGTAAGGCCGCTAGTTTTATATGGGTTGAGAAACAGTAAGAGGTTTGGGGGAATAAAAAGAAACCTTCTGCCTTTGAAGTCCTTGCAACTGGGAAGAGAAAAAACACAGAAATGTTTGCAGTAGCACAAGCTACCGTTAAGTGGTCGCTTCCATTTTGGTTTTCTTTTAAGCACAGGAAAAGTGTAGATTTAAGTGTGGGATTAGAATGCTCAGGCACATGTGCAAACTGAGGAATGTCAAGACTGGGCGAAGCACATAGCAGGTGTTTAATAATTGACTGTTGAATGGATCCTTGAATGAAAGGAGTGAGATTGCAGGTGGCCAGACATCTGTACCCCATTTGGGTTTAAAAGTCCAGCATTTCTCCCATGTGTGTCCTATGCAGCAGCCCAGGAAAAACCAGGATGCTGGGGGCCAATGTGTTAGGTCTTGCCACTCCCCCGCTGTTGGAGATTCATAACATGTATTAGCTTCTTAAAGACTTTGGAAATCCTGAAATTATATATATGTATCTACATATATGT